CGGGGGGCGTTATGGGAGAAAAAGAGAGAGATTTTCCTCGCAATCTCGTCCCCCTTTCATCCCGTTGATGGATATTTGTGTACGTATCGTTTAATCGTGTCGTGTGGATGGATACACGACGAGGGGGAGGCCGGCCGCAATAGCAGCAGCCGTCGGAATTACCATCAAATAATTTTTCGCCCGCAAACAAAAAAAATTAACGAGTTGTTTTTTTCTCGATCACGCGGCCCGCCGATTGTTTGCCGGATCGATCAAAGCGGTACACAAACTTGGTACTAGTCACATTTGCTGGCTCACGCTAGGAGAGAATTTGTTTCGAGCCTCGCTCTACCAAGTCCTAGAGTAATCGCGTCGGTTGATCGTTTAATTATCCAATTAACTTGAAACACACACGCGAAACGCGAACTACAATCGCGCCGAACCGCGCCGCGCCGTGTCGTTTTGAGGCTTTTCCGCGTTTTCCCCCTAGTATTTTCTCGGTTAGAAGCGGGGTGCTAATTGGTCGAGCGATGCGAAATATCCGTTACGATCTCGCGTAAACGCAAACAGGCACGGGAATCCGCCGCAAGGTACACAAAGTCGCTGACCGCGAGAGGTTTCCGTCGGGCCGCAGCTTTCGTCACACTATATTTCGTACACTGTTTCCCAACCTTCGATTTATACATTTCCGTTCGAGGAAAAAGTATATTCTCAAATAATTTAGATTAAAAGCTGTTAAATAATACTAAATACTAACTATAATATAACACCATTTATTAATATTAATTATGAAATTAAATGTTTGATTAAAATACATGTGACCTTTGGGGATACACTCTATTATCTATTTGATAAAGCAGAATGTCAATGTTATTCACATAATTAGTAAAAAGTATGGGTTTACGGGATTACACTAGAAAAGTGTCGAAAACAACATAATCTTCTATAACCAAGCCTTAAGTGTCATTTCCATTATTAAGCAAATCTTCATTTCAGACTATGAATACATGAAGTCTTAAAGCCATCTTATTGGAATAAGACGAACATCATGAAGAAAGCCTTAAGCAAATGCTTGAGCAACAATTCTGAATTCCGCCCAATGATTTACTGACACGCCAATGTCCGATAAATTGTGTAATAATAGAATATGAATGTACATGTAGAATAGAAGAATAGATAGAATGCCCAATTACTTGTATCTGTGATGATATATCCAAGTCCAAATCACCCTTCTTTGTGACAAATAAAGAACGTCGTACATTTATGTAGCCTAATACTCAACAAAAGGAAATAAACTGCAAGTTCTTAACAGGATTGTGTTCTGTGCGAGCCTATATCCTCCGGTATAGTTTCCAAACTTCGTAGACGTTGCGTGCAGATATAAGACAGAGACGGCACGACATCGACCTCTCTTTCCCTAACAGACGGACACCGGTTCCAATTACCGCCGCTTCGAATTGGCCGTGTTTCCCCGGCTCTGGGAATCTCCCTGCGATCGAGTCAAAGCACCGCCCAATCCGCGTTCCCCTGAATCTTACAGTCGCGATTGATATTCCTCTCTCGAAAGACAGAGAGAGAGAGAGAAAGGGGAGGTGGGAGGGAGTACCTTTCTCAACTATCTATCCGATGACACTACCCCGCGCGAGAACTGATTGCCGAGTTTGTTGTAGAACGGTTTTTGCCGACGCGACATCCAGCCGTGCCAGTAACGATGATTTTAATTGGACGATGCTACGCAGAAGACATCTTGAAAGCAATTAAGGGGAAATTTTATGCGCGAGGGGCCGTGGATTAGACATTAATTGGACGTTTCGTAAGACGATCGTGTAGTAATTCAATGACAACCATCGGATTCCGTTTCTTACGATAACGCTGTTAGATTTTTGAAAAAAATAGGATAGAATTGAAGGAAACATGGTTCATTCTATTTTCATCGAGGATTTGATAGACCCGATAGGAAGGAACGCAACCTCGGACGTCTTAAAGGAGACGACTTTATTTCAGTGAAGCGATCGGGTAATCGATTCAAGGCTTCTATTGTATTACCTACTTTCCTTATAACCCGCAGGTCACCCGTCCCGAAACTGCGGGGATATCAATAGAGACCAAACTCAGTGGAGTAGATAGGATGAGAGGAGCGTGTCTCCGCAGTCTTGAATGAATTTATACGGCGACCGTATCCCGGGACTGGAATTTTCAATGCGCCGCCGTGACGCGTCGCGTCGTCGCAGTGTATACGTTTATTCGTTCTGATATACATATACGTGGGCACTTTTATTGGAGTGCGGTAAATTAGTGGTATACTTCCCTGCCAGGAATAGGAAACAGACTCGGAACAAGAGATCGGCGTTAAAGCGATTGTTTCGTTAACTGTTTTCGATGACTGTACCACTGTCGATTTCACTTGGAAGATAATTTCCTGCAACGTTACAGACGATTTTCGAACACCTCCGACCGTATAAAAGTTTGACGCTCTTATTTACGAGGTTCAGTGCAGCGGCCACTTTGGTTCTCGACTCGATCCGACCCCACGCTTTTAAGTTCTGGGTTCGAACCATTACTCTAAACCAGATCTCCACGTTTTCTTTGCACCTCTGCTCTATCCCTCAGAGCGAGTTTCCTTAACAACAGTTTCGAAATCGCTCCGAGTTCGCTTGCACGATTCATCCGGGGAAAGGGTACAGTATCTACCTCTGTAGCTTGAGGCAATCCGTTAAACTGACTTAGTCTGCGGAACCGATTCGATGATTTTGTTATGTCTTTGGTCTCATTCCAAAGAAGTTCGCATTTATCCTTTTTCAGTGATGCGACAAATGCCTACGAAATTAGAGATTTCAAACGACAGACAAATTTTTTTGTATATGCGTATCATTCAAAGCCAATCATTTTGGCTTGGTAGTTCTAGTGTTAAATAATAAATTCTAAGGTGCCATATTTATTTAATGCGCTAGAACATCAAATGGCCTGAACAAGTCGGGCAAAAATGGCTTGACGCGGATCGTGTTAATCCATCTCCGCTGTACAAGACACTCGATTTGGTAAAGATGAATGAATATGTAAATTCGTATCCAATATTTATCTGATATGATGATGAACTCGAGACTCTCAAATCCAGCAGAATGTTCATCAAACATACATGCTGTTACGTAAAGCCGAAAAGGCGATCAACGTATTCGATTATTAATGGAAATTTCTCGGAGTGTTATAATTTATGAATTCCCTTCCGTTCGCTTTTAATCGAAAACAACGAAGTATTTTTAGTGCATTACACATGATTGACATAGCGACGTCGCGAGAAAAGGAATCACTCTTCCATTTTGGCTGATTAGGAATTTACAAAATAAGCACATCTGCTTATTTTCTTTTTTATTGAGAATTGATTTTAGATTATTAGATTTTAGATTGATTATATCCCTTTGTGAAGGACGCATGTCTTAGCTCTGATTTCAAGGGTAACAGTTCGAAGGTAGGGTTGGAAGCTATTTTCGGTCGTCGCCATTAAGAAAGGAGAAGGACGTCGACCGATCGTTTGTCTTAATAAAGTGCGTCGAAGGCATGTTCCCGAGAACGGTTGACTTATGGCTAGTCATCGTAGCTAGGCAGCACCCCTCGCGATTCGTTTTCACCAGTTTTTCTATACGCGCGGCGAAAGAAAGAGACGGGAAACGGGGTGCAGCGGCAATATTCAGAAGGGCTCCTTCGGTGGGGGTCGTTAACCCCGAGAGTCCATCAATCGAACTGGAGGGTCGCTGGTTAACGACGCCAAACATTCGTCATCGGGTGGATCCTTCCTCGAAGGCAGCCGACCCTCTTCCCTCGCTCTTTCAACTCTTTTCGCTCGGGCCTGAATACTTTCAAACTCTCCTCAATGGAATTTATCGCCGATTAAAAAAGAAAATTAAGATAAATGAATGGGTTAGCTTCATTTTTAACAGCGAGTGGAAAATAGACGCGGCCGTGGAATATTTTATCGCGGTTTCTTCGCGTTCTCCCCTTCTTTTAGCAGGCGTCACTCGAGCTTCGCCACAGAGACGATGTCAGTCATTTCCATAAATAAACAATTATTCTTGGCGATTGTTTTCAAGTGATGAGCGCGCACCCCTGGGTAAATATCGGCCGATAAATATTCAAGATCCGTCGCAAGTTAAGGGCCGTTTTTTGCCCGGTCACCTAATGATTTATCATTCGTCTCCGCTCGTCGCCTCGAAGACTGACTTTCAATCAATTGTGCAAACAACACTTTTACACCGTGCACTCAGTAGATTCCTGCGCTCGCCGGTTAAGCTCGTTGCATTTTAGTCGGGAATTGTTGTCTACGCAAGCAGAACTCCGAAAGTGAATTACACTTGCCGCATAGGTACGCGTGCGTTCTAAATCATAAGCTCTACCATTTCGTGTCACCTAAGCTGATTCGGTTGATTTTACCGTGCCCGTATAAACATAAGTTTCCTATTTTGCTGAACTCGGCTTCCCCTACGTTCGCTGAATACCGCGCATCGCACAGACGCTCTTGACTCTCGCTATTTTCCACCCGGAATTGTCTTTTATAGTATACAAACCGCCAATTCGATCGAAATGTGTTCCATTATACTATCGAGTAAATTCTGCATGCAGGATAAGTCAATAAAAACTATTCCCAGAGATAATTCATTTATTGACATCACCGAAAATTTCTATAAATATGTGCACTGCAGTTCGTTGAGTGCATTCGATTAAAATTATTAAGTGACGTATAATTTTATATAATATTTCTTAGAATAACTAGAAGTCTTATGATTTCTGAAAATAATTATTTCGTATAAAATAAAATCTACAATTATAAGAAATCGGTAATTATCGACACCTGGACTAATTACTTTTCCTATCGATTCCGATTGGAAACTTCTTATTATACAACAATGAAAAATATCTTATTGGTTCTATGGCCATGCGACAAGTAGCACCCTTAGTGCGGTTATCAGTTATTTTTCGCAACGTCCTCGACGAACGTGTTTTCAGTTTCTACTTTTTTTATCCGACAGAAACATCCGCCACGTCGGATCTGGACAAGATCCAACAGCCGGTGAAGATCGTGCTCTCCAGCACCTGTCATCATGCATACACCGCTTGCAAGTGAGTACAAAATTTCGCCCCGTCCCTCCATGTATTTCCATGTTAAAATTATTTCGTTCCATCGACCAGCTTTACTTTGAAGCGTATGTCAGATACTGTAATCTCTGTCGCTGCCATTTAAATGTTTATAAAAATTCCAATGTAATTTTGCAGACGAAATTTTATATTAAATAAAACTTTCATAGTGCAATCAATTAAAGTTATCATTCTTTATCATTATTCATCGTTTATATCATTATATCATTGTACAAAGTACAATTCACAAGTCACAATCCTTGTAAGATAATTAATGATTTATATCATCATAAATCATTATATACAAGGATAGTGACGTGTGTTTTATATTTTTCGTGTATTAAATTTTTTTTATAAACGCACGAAATCGACTGTTTACTTGCGCACTGCTGTTGATTTATAAGGTACGATACAGATCACGTTTTATCTGTTTCCCGTGTGTTCACGTTCCAGAAACGATCCAGAATGCAAGGTGTTGCTGGAACCGGTGCTGAACCACTGCGACGCGGCGAGCTGCGCGCGTAACGAGTGCATGGAGGCATTGCAGAATTTTTACAAGTCCGCGAACCACAAGCACTCCGTCGAGATCGCGTTCTGTTTATGCAGGTGAGCTATTCCTGAAGAACTGTTCTACGACACGGGAGACATGGGACGACGCAGCGGCGCATATGCACGAACATGGGGGAAAAAAAATAATAATAAAAATTCGAGCGGCTCGCGCTCTCGTCCCTTGTCCGGTTGTGCGATAGTCGTCGAAATAACGAGATAAAAAATTCTATAAATCCACGACACGCGGCCCGTGTGAAAATCGTTTTTCGCTCGCCTCGCGCCGCGGCTCCGGCACGGAAAAATATTCCGGCGTTACTCCCAAATCGATGTCCGTCGATGGTGAAAAACGAACGCGGGTAGAAGAGAGAGGGAGAGGAAGATGGAACGGGAGAGAGGAAAAAAAAAAGATAAGCCGGCCACTTGTCGGGACACACGGGATTTTATGAATTTTCATGCGAACCGTGTTATTTGTTTATTAAAACAGAAGCCGATGAATAAAAGTATTTATAAATGATTCGGCCAGAGTTCAGCCCGCTCTCGAACCGGATTATCGGGAGCAGCGAGGAGGAAACCGCGGAATCGAAGATCACAGGGACGGATAAGGAACGACGGATATCGAATTAACGACAATTAACGCGCGGGTACTGAAAGTGGAGATAAATCCGATTGGCAATTAATTTCGTGGTCGATCAACGACAGAGCATCGACCGCGATCACTGAGAACGTTTCGTGCTCGCGATCACCGAGCCGGCCGCCGTCGGTCAATATAATGCAACTGACGCGGCCGGCCAATTTTAAAACCGTACCACTCGACGGGCGACTATTCGCACGCGGAAATCTCTGGGAGGACGCGAGTTCATCGAGCGCGACTCAATTAAACGCCGGCCCGTTTGCACGGCTCTTGAGGTAACGCTGAGTAAACTCGCGGGAAAAGTGATAGGGAAAGACAAAGACGGGGTGGGTCAGGAGAGAGCCTTCGCGGTGGACACAAAGCACCGCCGCGCCTCCGCCGCCCTCGCAGTGGAAATATCCAGAACAGTTCTGCATCCCTAATCCCTTCGTTTCGCGCGCGGTTCAGGCTTTCTTTCCGAAGCGAACCTCCTTTAACTTTTAAGTGGCTTTTGCCCGCGAAACAATGCAGAAACTTTCTATCCGTCTTTCATGATCTTCCGGTTCCTCTTCCCGGCCCTCACTTTTTTCCGGTCGCCCTCCGTTTCCCGTACGACCGAGCTCATTGTCTCGACGATACGTCCCTTTGTTCCGCGGCCCTGAGAGACCGAGATATCGGTGTCTTCTCTGAATTTATTAATATTAAATGACCCCCGGCAGGCTTGAGAGTCTTTGACGAATTCGAACCCGTGTTCCCTCGATCCGCCTTGAACGTTTCACTCCCGGTTTGATTAATTTAGCGATGGAATGTTTCACTCCCAGTTTGGTTAATTCAGCGGATCCTCTGCTTGTTGCCTGTGCCCGAAAATACCCGGCGGACCACCGAATCGGGGTTACATCTATACCGCGCGCGACAAATTGAGGAACTCTATAAATAATATAATATAATTTCCACAGCCGAATCGGGGTAGTTCGAGAAAGATTGTTATACTTCATTGCGCGAGGTTAAACGACGAAACAGTTGAGGGTAAGGAGAAGAAACGAGAAAGTTGATACGGTGGAAGAAATTTTTCGCGATCAAAATACATGACAGACTCGTTCAATGCTCGTTGAACAATAGTTGGAGTGGAAATTTCTCCTTTCGAACCCAACCGAGATCTTAAGAGAAACGATAGATCGTAATCTCGCGGTCCCTTTTTACCTTTATTTCCGTAAGCTGCGATTACGAATCGAATTTCTTACTTCAAACAAGTGTAACCGAAATTAAACCGAACCTTGTCTTCCTATTAAGGTTGTATGGGTCGTAAGATCTCTAACAAAAGTTTAAGACACGTGACAAAAAGCTGTGTCCAATATTTGAAGCAATAAACTGTTAAAATTTCAATGCTTTGTCATTGTTTTTATGTAAGGGTTCATACAACTTTACGATTTCGGTGTTTAATATACGCTTCGTTTTGTCGTTCGTAGGAAAACGGTTGGGAAGAAGGACGAGTGCATAATAGCGCAAGAGAAGATGCACCCCGCTTGCGCGCAGCGCGTCGAGGGCGCAGAAATACCGGCCTGTCACACGTTGGCCGCAGCCTGCAAGAAGAACGCCACTTGCAAGTAAGTAGAATACGTCGCAATTATCGCGTTATGATTTAATTTGTAGTACATGAAACGTGGAAATCAAACGCGGAACATCGAGTTTCTTTGCAAGAACTCCTTTTTTACAACAAATATATTAAATGTTTGACGGTAAGGTGTAACGATGAAACGAGAAACGCGAATTACGTTTTTTCCGTGGAAGATCTCTTTCATTTAGCGGGACACAGAAGGAGGGTAGGAAGCAAAAAGCGGACAGAGATTAATCGGACGCTGTATTAAGATCGGAAAAATTAATTGGCGCCGCGGACAACAATGAAAAGGGCGCTTTAGCTCTGGCGTTTATCGCAACGCGGACGAAGATAGTATCGCGGATAGTATCCTGGATAAACGTTAGACCTTTTGATTAAACGGCTCGAATCCTTTTTTCTCCGCTCGCTCTCTGACCAGACCCGCGACGGAGGAGGTTAGTGCTCGTTTCAATTTGAAAGTTAAATTGCGAGTCAACGAGACGTGGCTTGATCCAGTACCGAGGTATTTGCTCGTCGCGCTGCCAGTAACGCTTTATTACTAGCAAGAAAAAGACGCTCCCTGCTCGATGAAAAACCCCGGTTCAAGAACGGGTCAACGTCGAGACCGAATTATAAGAAAAAATAAAAAGCGGCAAGAGGGAAGTTGAATCTATTTGGCTATCGCCGCACCCGCCGGTCGATTGACGAGAATCGAATTATCGGTCCGACTGTTGATTAATTAATTCCATTACAAATACGAGATTGAAAAGAAATCGCGCCTTCGTATCCGATTTAACGCGTTTATGAGATGGAAAATATTCACCGATGAAACGGGATATCGATCGAGGCCGAATTGGCCAGTTCGCGCGATGATTAAATTACACCCAACGTGGAGCGCGCCCCGACACGACGACGCGGCGTGTTGTCGTCGTCGCGAGGGCATTTTAATCGATTCACTCGCGGGGGTCAGTGAAACAGACTCGTTTCTAACCAATTGCATATTCTCCGATCGTTTCGGCTCATTATGCGACGATTTTTACTAATAACGTTGTATAGGGGATTGTAATCGTGCAATAAATTACGATGATTATCATAGATTGTGTCCCACGGAATCGTGTTTCTGCAACGATTTGCCAATAATTATATCGGATGAAATCAGGAAACTTTTGAATATACTCATCAACGATTTATTTATTATATATATAAAGACTTTCGGCCAAGTAGGCCCAGAAATGGACTTGGTTTACAATTTAAATTCTTATTGCACTCGTACTTTTACACCCTCCTTCCCCTAAAACCCTCGGCTGAGACATACTTTCTTTCTCTTCTGTTATCTTTACATCTTAATTAAAAATAGTGTTTTTTACTAATGCATTGTATTATTATATAATGGTTGTCATAATTCACTGTGTATACGTATACTTTGCGTACGCAATGAAGTGTCTGTATAAATCGTAAGAATTTGAACAATCCGAGAGATGGGATGATAACTTGCGTGTAACCTTGATTATCGTGCCTTACGTAGAATGAAGTTGGAGTACTACGAGCAGAGTTGCGCGGTGGACAGCGTGACGAAGAAGTGCGCCGGTCCCACCACGGAATGCAGGAAAGCGATGTTGGGTATTCTGGGCACGGAGCTTAGGTCGAATTGTGCCTGCAGGGGCACCGAGCTCACGCAAGTTTACGATTGCCTCGGCTGGCAGAGACTTCTCTGGGTGAACCCTTGCGTGGGTGAGTAAAAAGGCCAATGAAAATGCATAGTATATGTTAGAACGGGAATCGTTCAACATCTTTTGACATGAACATTGCATGCGATTTTCGCTCCGGATTTAATTTCTATATTTTTTCACCGTCGTCAGAGCACTGAATATATTTATACACACGAGTTATTTTTTGTTCCATTCGATGAATGATAATCACGCATCAATATTTAATTTAACGATGACGCCGATAAACGATGAAATAGGGCAATTTCTTTTACGTAAACACATTCGAGGCGATAAACAAATTGCCTCGGTGCTTTGATCAAAAATCGATTCCGCGTTTCGACGAAATCGGTCAACGGTATTAATTTGTAGGTATTCACCCAAAAGAACGATGAAACTTTAGAGACAATGGAACGCGTCAATCAATGGAGTGATTAATATCTGCGATGATTAATATTCGTACGATGATAGAGCTAGTTCCTCTACTCGTGATATTTTTGTCGCTTATCCAGTCCCCTGGCTAAATCTGTAATTCGGCCATTTAGCTCGCAAATCTGTTAAATATCGTCGGTTTTATCCGTCCCGTTACTCGCTGCTAACAATCATCAATAATTCAAAATCCTTTTTATATATATACTTCACATATGAAACATTTGACAAGTGCAATTATTTAAATGGATTTTATCTTTATATTCTATTCGTAAACTCGATCGTGGAAACGTCTCTCCACAAAGAAACGTCGAACGATCATTGTCCGTGGCTCGTTAAGATCATGAAATCGTAATTACACCGGTGAAACGGCACACAACAGCCGGTTTTATCGATCTTACGATCCGCGTCGCGAACTTCTCTACAGAGGGTGACCCGGCATTCAGTCGACAGACAGGTCATTTAGATATGAAGAAATTGCTTCTTGCTGCTCGCTTGAGGAGCGCATCGTTTCTCCTTCTCTCACCGTATGTGTTTACGTCTGCACGTAAGTGCAAACAGCATCGATCTGCTTGATCGTCTCTCGCACCGATTCCTGATAGGGAATGTAGGTCGAACACCCGGTTTGATGTTCTCCGTTTGATGATCCTCTTGCCAATAAATGCGCCACACGTAAATTAACCTTTACGCCTATTCCGTTAGTCCCGTCTTTGACACAGATATCCTTGTTGCAATTTCGACTGTCAGTATCACTCACTCGACTGATCTACTCGTTCGTGATTTTCAATATTAAAAATATGACTTGATGCAGCTGTGTGTTCATTAGTACCATAAGAACAGTAACAGCAGGTGTAAGATCTCTTATTTGATTACCTCTTATTTGATTTAACGTATTGGAAACTAACCAGTTTGCATATCTCAAATTATATTCTCCTGGGGAAGGATGCACACTAATTAACACTAGATTTACCAAGGGGGGTCAAAATGACTTGTTTGACATTTCTTATAATTAATATTCATTTTAAGTTCATTTTGTTTTCTAAAATTTTGTATGACTTTTCCTAAAATATGTAAAAACTAATTCTGTAAAACAGTTTTCCTTTTTTTGTCTTCTTAATGTAAACCTCCATAAAATTGCTGTCTTTCCTTATGACTTATTAATTTGAAAAACAAGTCATTTGGACCCCACCGGTAGAAATAGATATACGTCAATCGCCGGTAGTTCTAGTGTCAATATAGTTTCCAATACTGAGAATATCCTGATGGATATCGAAAGATTGGAAATACGACTGATCCTGCCCGAATTAATTTCTAACGAAGACAAATTAAAATGGAAGCAGTCAATCGTGACGTTTCTTCTTTTCATAAATAATTATTGCAAGTGCCATGGACCAAGCAATTATTATTAGAATCCGTATAGCTCAGGATAGCTCAATGTATTTGGTTTTTCGAAAAGGATCGAATGATCAATTCATAACCCAGTGCTCTAAAATATACATGCACGCACCGTTTTCATATTTATTACCTGTATCGTGCGTGCATGTATGGACGCTAGTTTATTAACACTAGGTTTACAGACATTTATTTTACCTCTAGGGGCACGCGTCAATTTGATGCATTCCGTAAAGACACGTATACCACTTAGAGATCTCTAAAATTAGAGAGAGAGAGAAGTACGTAGTTTTTTTTTTAAATAATTTGCTTTGAAGAAAATGAATTTCCGTATAAGTTTATCTATTACCTTAATCTATTTATCTATTTATCGCTAATCTCGTTATGAATATTCTATTATTGATAAAAACAATTAGCAGAATTGATGGTCTTTTTCAGTGGAGTCGCAGAAGGATTATCACGCGAGGAGGAAACATCATCACTACCCGAGAACGACGACAACGACCGTCTCGTCGACGACGAAGTCACCGACGGACGGGACGACGACGACGACGACCGTCACCGTGCTCGAACAAGTGGAGGATAATCAGATACCGGAAGTAACGAGGCGGCCAACCACCGAACCCACGGAAACTTTGGAAATCACCACTGCGACCACGACCACCTCGACTACCACTCCGGCTACCACCATAAGTACCACGCCAAGTACTACCACTACCCCTACAGCACCGCCTCGTGAGTATTACATTATAACTCATTCCTACGAATAGATGAATCATTTTTTTATGTGCTACAAGTTCACTTTCGGAAAAAAGATGAATTAACTCTAGTTTTACTAAGATATACATATCTTATTTTTATATTTAAATTTACCCCTACAATACCGCATTGTGATCTCTCGTGAGATATTTTTTGTCATCACTCTTGCTGTCGAGCATAGAGGTAACTTGCATTAAAAAACATGATAATATGATGAACCAGAATGGACAACTTCTATTTCTGTCGTAATATACATTTTGACTGTTGCCATACGCTTTCACGTGGAGTACTGGGAAGGTAACAAAATCTCGACATAAGGAGAGGGTCGGGAGGGAAAGGATGCGTGTTGGGTGCCGTGTGTATCGCGAGATAGGAAATGCAAAGCTCCTTTGATCGTTGGTACCGGACAGGGGGACGGGGATTCTGTCCGAGACAGAGGAATTTTTGTTTCGTCGCCGCGAGAGAACCGACGAATGTTATAAAGCGAAGGAAGACTGGTGGAAACGGCTTAAAAGAAAGATTCGGAACAAGCTGGCGGGGTAGGTGGGCGGGGCGAAGTCTCGGGCCAGGAAAAGGAGACAGGAAAACAGTTTGTCCGTAAACGTGCTGCATGCGTCTCTGAACAGCGTTCGTTTCTTTATAGGCTTCTGCGAGGTTCAAAGGCCGAGGCAAAGTCACCAATACATAAGAGAAGGCAAAGGCATGAGGGTGAGTTCTCGACAATCTGAAAAGTATTTTCACGACCAATCGGATAGCGCTGTCACGGTTACTCGTACGAATCCAAAAGACAGTCACTACATATTTTTTTATCATTGTTACAAGACAGCGGATTTCATGTATTTATATGAAAACGGAATATACAAAAGTTATAAATTTTGTGTGTAATGGTACAAAATTATGCAGAACATGAAAAGCTGAATGTATATTTAAATGTTCTCATCATTAAATACATATACAGGGTGAGGCACTTATAGCAGGCCAGTTGAATAACTTGGCTCCTAGTGGTGACAGGAAAAAATGCATCAGACCAAAATTATTTGGGCTGATCATCTGGTGTTACTAGCTTTTTGATAAGTGGAGACGTCAGTAGGAGCCAAGTTATTCAGGTGGTCTGTTTTAAGTGCCTCACCCTGTATACTCATAACTGACATTATGTTAGCGCATTCCAAAATCGAATAATTTTTTTTAATATCCGACGTAATAAACATATTTCTTTATTATTTATACTGATACATAATTAAATTGCATGAAGTACGCAAATAGAATGACACGTGGATACATGCTGAATATCTGTGATAGGTTTCATGAATTTTAAGTACAATATTCATTGACTCGCCGTAGCTGTATCGGGACGACGAGCCGGAGTGCTCGGAGCTGTGCCAGTGCGGCGAGGGCGAGGTTTTGATCTGTCACACGATCTGCGTGGACTCGTCGCCGTGCAAGACGGATTTCGCATTTTACTATCACGAGGCGCCGGCGTATCAGGCGCATCGCGGACCCTGCCTCTGCTACAGCGGCCGTTTCATATGCATGCGACCTTCACCCGGTGAATATACAGTCCTTTTGCATCTTCACGTAGATAAGCGAGACGATAACCAGGATTCGTGTTGATTAAATTTTGCTCTCGGACGGAATCTGAATTGCATGAAAAGTATTATTATGATTAACGGAGAAATGACGTCAGTAATTAAAAATCAATTTTCGTTCATCCGGACGAGAAAGTATTTCAGTGTCCACGTGCAATAATTTTGATCGCTTCAACAGATGCTTACTCTATACCGCACGGAGTTTTCATGTTCCTGGGCTACAGCGAAAAGGACGAGAGTTACCTGCGGCAGCACAACAATCTCACCGTTCTGGACGCGGTATCGTCCCTCGATAGCTTCATGAGAGAGGAAGTTAATAATCAGGTAAACCATTTTCGCGCGCGATAACGTCGTGTATTTTTAAATCAGTGGATAGTTGCTCGATCCTGCGATCCGGTCGGTCTCAGTTGAAATCGGAATTCCCCCGCGTAGAGAACAGGAACCCATTCGCGAAGATCTCTTTCGAACGGACTCGGGGTGAACGGTGGTAGGAGGAATGCCGAGCTGCAGCTTTTAAGTCGAACCGTTTCCCGTGAACCGTGAGGTATTCACGCGGGAACGAGGGAAAAATCTCGAGAGTCAGCCAACGAGAGACGAATCGGGAATATAAAGCGAACACACAGACTCGGCGAAACTTAATAATACCAGATATCGTTGGATAACGTCGAGATATATATGTACACGTAACACGTACATACATATATATATGTACATGTACAAGTGTATATATGTACGTGCTCTTTTTTCGTTCTATTTGCAGACAGTGTGCACGCTGTTCCTGTACAACGCGACCCGAGAAAATGTGATTGCAGTGGCGCGTCTCGGGACTGACAATCCACCCTTAAATAGCAGCCAAGCTCAAAGTCTGCAGCATCTTCTGCGCGTCAAGGTGAGTAAATTGCAAATAGCGACTACTATCCACTCTTCCCGTTCCGTGAATTCGCATCAATTTTGATCTTATTTTCCGGCCCGACTCACCCCCCGCCCACCGCTACCGGCCTCGTAACTTTATTGCCCCGCCCGCGACTCTCTCGCTAGTCCGTCTCTCTATTTAGCCACTCGTCAACAGTTTATACGTAACGCGTTATTGAATTTCCCGGAGAGGAGGCACCCGGGTAGCTGAAAAACTTCGTCTCGAACTTCGAGACAATATTGCATCGTTTCACTCGTTACCTGGAACCGCTTCGCGCTCGCTGCTTCCTCGCGAATTGCTCCGAAGAATTCGCAGTAATTTGATGAGAATTAAAGCTCGGAGGATTCCCGAGGAAATTAACAGAAGGAAAAAGGTTCCGTCGCGTTACTGTCGAAGGGCAGGAGAACGTCGAGTGTCGGTAAACTTTATCAGGTGCCCGCCCGGTTGTCAGTGAAGGGTTTACAGCTCCGTGTTCGCTCAAGGGTTTTTTTTTATCATAATTTAATTTCCAAGGGCGGAGTTCGAGACCGAGCTCGTGATTTACGTGACGCGAAGGAACCGTATAGACGGAAGAAAAAAAAACCCTTAAAAACGAAGAGAGTACGGTGACTAGCGACTAGACGACGAAGGGATCGCGTGCGCAGAGTCGATTCGATTCGCATCGAAAGGACTAGTTTCGTGTTTACGCGGCAGTCTGCGTGCGTGCGTGCGTGCTGCGGCGCAGGAAGTGCGTGCAGTATATCCACCGGGCGATATCAAACTTTACAGAACTTTTCATTTATCTCGCTCACGCCCTGCGCCATATTTCGCTGATCGAGGGGAAACGAAAACCACCCATTCCACTCTTTCTCTCTTTCTCTTTTATTACGATCATTATCCCGGCTAATTAACAGCCGTCCTGCGTTACTCCGAAATTTGCTTATCTCCGCACGTGAATTTCCAAAATAGTGACCTGCGCGTGTGTGTCTCTTATTGAATTGAAGTACTGCGAAACGAGAACTAATTTTTCATTCTTTTTTCAAGAAAATTAAAAACTACGCAGCTTTCAGTTTTCGTCACAAGTCGAAGAGAATGCTACGCCCTCCTCGTCGAGTCCGCCGACGAAACAAAACGCAGTCGAATTTCATAACCGAATTTGAAAAAAACTCCGGGCGAACCGGGAGCGATAATCAAACAAGCCGGCGCTAATTACGAACCGGGAGATTCGTTCCAGCAACAGCGCAACATTTTCTCCCAGAGGCCTTTTTTCACCCTTTTCGTTTCCTCTCCGCCCGTGGAGGGCGGCGCGCGTTCAAAAGGCAATTAAAGCGTGACTCGATTTCGTTAGGTCGGTCGGCCTCGGAAGCCACTTATCGTGGTCGAGTAGTCGCGAAATTTTCGCGGCGGTCTCTAGCGTTTCGCGATCGATAAATTGTTTTGGCGAACAAAACCAGCTACGGAAATCGTAAATAAGCCCCGGGCCGAGGCCGAGCGACCAGCGCCGCGCGGCTGGTAACGGGGCGATATAGATAAAAAGGCGAAATATTCGCGTGAAAATTGATAAACGAGCCGGATACGTTCGGTCGCGACACATTAAGCTCACCGCCCCGCACAATTTCTATTCGCGGAAAATCCGTCTAATTCGTTCCCAAAACGAGGCAGCTCAAACCAGATATCCTAAATTTATGATCAAATTCGAAAGAACCAAATTCATTGGACAGTTTTTATGCAAATACTGTCATTTACTGTTCTCAATTAAACCTCCCGAATTTTTATTTTCATTGGTTCCAATTTGCTATAATATACAGTGGGGGACAAAAGTATTCGTACACTTGGAATGTAGAAATAAAAGCATCAATATTTTCTATACTATTAATTATATTCAAACATATGTTGCTGTATATTATACATAACACTTANAAATTTCCAATTAAAGGAATATCATTTACAAACCTTCTAACTTTAACTTAAGACAACATGAAACAGTAAGGAATAATTATGCAAATATAACTAAAAAATTATTGCATATTATTAAAAACGTTCTCACTCGATTTATTTCATTCATCTTCTCATTTTTAACAAATCGTTTAAAAAGTCGGCCCAATTAGCACCTCCATTTAAAAAAATTCATCATAAGAGGATATAGGAAACTTGTATCGATAGGCAGAATTTCTGTGTTTTATTTTGGTCATACGCGCTCCATGACAATCTCCAATTTGCAATTTGATAGGAAGGCCGCAAATTCGAACTGCTACGCTCCATTTCTCTCCTCGTCTCGTCTCTCTTTTTTCCAACGCAGTTCCTTGAAATGGTCCCGAAAATGAATAATGGTTATCAAAAATGCCAAATAAGTAATTTTGATCCCCTTTGGTAGATAATAGATATAGTGTTGATCCATAAGTTATTAGCTTGTATAAAATAATTATCACATCGTGGCACACGTGACGTTATAGTTTTAAACTTGTTATAAAATACATACGTCTTTATACGTCTTTAACGCATTAAATAAATATATCAGCGTCACCGACGGTACACGTGACACGGAACGCCTTAACCAGTTAGCTGTGATGGACGAGTATACTCGTCACCGCTTGATTCTCGAGACACAATTGAGTTACACATTTCATAAAGAGGTCACCACAATGAACTGGTTAAGGAAGATTCCCGTGGCCCGAATCATTTTTTGTCGCTTTATTCGATGAAGCATTCAATCAACGAACATTTCCTGAATGAGAGCTCATGCATAGAATATGGAAGACTGAATTCCTCGAAAGTTAACTGCGACGCGAGAATTTCGCGGTTCAAGTAATATCGCGTGGACCGGCGCGGCGCGATGCGGCATGGCGGGGGTAGTAGCGCCACGCGAAAGCGTAATTTGCATGCCGCGGCTTAACGTGTACGGGAGGGCTGTTCCCACCCCAATTTCATCCCCGCACCCCCACTGGCTAGCTGGAATTCGTGTCGCCGATAAATAATAGCGAGCCTACCTCCCCCTCCTTCCGACTCGGCGATCGGGGCGAATTCTGACCGATCGGGCGACCGCAAAGCTAGCCAAGAGAAATACGCGAGCAGACCTTGGAAACAGGACCGGCCGCGTTTATGTCAGCTATTCGTTAATTAGTAAACAGAGTTTTGCTTATAATATCGCAAAGTACAGCCGGTGCTGCGAGTTTCCGCGGGTGGTATAAACCACTGCGGCGGGCGACACGGAAATTGGAGGGAACGAATTTTGGCCACGGCCCGGGCAGGCTCGATTTCCTGGTGGGAGGGAACAGAAATCAGCGGTCCAGAGGATGATTCCAGGAAGTTTCTTTCTAGCTCGTAATTGAACGGGTCCATCGAGCGGCGATCGCGCATGGACCGAAACGAGTTCCGATTGAATTCGCGAGATACACCAACTTGAACGATCCACTTTAATCAAGTAGTTCGAACGGGTGGACCGGGATGCGTTATTGTTCGAGTATGTACACGCGCGTTCTTCTCGTTTTTTGTTTCCCGACTTCCGCGGCGGAACGATCGAACGAGTTTCTCGTACGCGAATCGATTTCCAGCTTCATTTCCTGCAATTTTGCGGAGCCACCGAGCGGATCAACGACGATTTTATTTGTTTCGGAGCGATCGCGATTCCAGAGTCGGTCACAACTTCCGAACGGTGGAAGGTGCGACCGGGCTCCCGGTATAATTAGTTTGAACGAGTAGACCGCAGCCGAACGTAGGATAGTTGCCACTCAGTAACGGTTCGCGACCGTCGCTCGCTCGAAATCTTTAATTAAGGGGTGGCCGGGGGGAGAGTTGGCCGGCGGCCAAGTACGTGCTATTAAAAAACCGGATATCGCCAGCGGCGATTTTTAATGTTTTTCCTAAACGACCGGCTACGTGCCGCGAATCTTCGTCTCTCCTTCCGTCGGATAGTCCGATTTCATTCCGGACGGCGGCGAGGAGCCCGTAAAAACTGGCACGACGCACCAATCACCGAGACTACCGCGGCGTCGCCGTCTCGAACCGGAAACTTTTTACCTCTCGAATGGCTAGTTTCCAAGTTTTTACACGGTCGCCGGATCGACCTCGAACTCGGATCAGATTTTCATCTGACGAAAATCTCCCTTGATTTTCGGCTACACTTCCCTCGCCGGCGACTTCCCTTTGGACGCGTCGTCGCCGCGCTAGCGCCGCGGAACAATCACACGCGAGGGAGTCCAGAAAGAGTGGCAGCGGCAGCGTTAACGATCGCGAATGTGCTAACTACGTAACACCTGGAAAGAAAAATGTTCCGTATAATACACGCGAGATACATACGTCGATACGCGGGGCGGCAGACGTAGAGCGACCGCAGTCAGATTGCAGAAACGGTTACTCAATTACTGCCGTACCCTGCCTGGGGTAATTACACGCGGTGGGGTCAAAGTTTAAGACCCTAACGAAGCGGAAAGTTACCGAGAAACAGCGATACGTGTTAACTCCTGTAAGTAGATAACTTTCCTTTTCTATTCAAAACATGGCACAGATACGCCGCATACGTATTTCTGAAGTGACACAAGTCAAAAACCTGTGTTCTATACATATATCTGCCAGTTAGTACCGTCCAAGAATTGGTTGAACAGTCCTTCATCAAACATTAAAAGTGTAACAAATAGCTGAAAAATCCCACACTTTATAGGACACCAGTGTTACTCTTCTAGTCTTGAAGCTGGAAATACATAAAGTGTGCTATTGAGCAGCTGATTAGAACAGCCAATCAAATGTTCTCCCTTATAACAGATATATTGACTTATTCATTAATTGTATTTTGCGGTAAAAGATTTTTAACTTAAAAAAAGTCTAAATTACATTTCGTAAATTTGTTTAAAAATTATAATAACACCCTTAAGAATTACTATTTTCCACATTGATATTTTCCCGCTGCCATAAACGCAGTATCATTTTTTGTTGTTGTTAAGGGAATATTCAGTTTTTTGATATTGCCATTTCGACGAAAATTATTGCTGAAGTAATTTTTT